TATGGAAGACAAGGTAGCAGAACAGCAAAAAGAAAAAACAATTTTTAAAAAATGAAAATAGTTTAAGGACTTCCAGGGCAACATAAAATGTAATGACATTCACATCACAGCAGTACCAGAAAGAGAAGAGAGAGAATAATGGATTGAGAACTTATTTGAAGAAATAAGAAAACTTCCCTAATCTGGCAAAGAAAATAGACATACAAGTCTAGAAAGTGCAGAGAGTCCCAAAAAAGATGAACCCAAAGAGGCCCACACCAAGATGCATAATTAAAATGCCAAAGGTTAAAAGGGGACATCTATGATACGTTCAATAATAAAAAAAAATAAAAAAAGAGGCCCGGTGCATGAAATTTGTGCATGGGTAGGGTCCCTAGTCCTGGCCGGCAATCAGGGCCTTCCTTCGTTCCACGCCGCCCCCTGGTGGTCAGTGCACATCATAGCCAGCAGTCGAACTCCCAAGGGGACAATTTGCATATTAGTCTTTTATTATATAGGATGTGAAAGGTTAAAGACAAAGAGAGAATCTTAAAAGCATCAAAACAGCCCTGACCGGTTTGGCTCAGTGGATAGAGTGTCGGCCTGCGGACTCAAGGGTCCCAGGTTCGATTCCGGTCAAGGGCATGTACCTTGGTTGCGGGCACATCCCCAGTATGTTTCTCTCTCATCGATGTTTCTAACTCTCTATCCCTCTCCCTTCCTCCTCTCTGTAAATCAATAAAATATATTTAAAAAAAAAAGCATCAAAACAAACTGTTAGAAAACTAAGGGAGCTCCCATAAGACTGTTAGCTGATTTCTCAATAGAAACTTTGCAGGCCTGAAGAGTTAGCACAAAATATTTAAAGTGATAAAAAGCAAGGACCTACAACCAAGGTTACTCCACCCAGAAAGACTATCATTTAGAATATTAGGAGTGATAAAGAGCTTTCCAGCCAAGAAAAAGCTGAAGGAGTTCATCACCACCAAACCAGTATTACAAGAAAGGTGAGAGAGGGAGAGAGAGAGAGAGAGAGAGAGAGAGAGAGAGAATTGGAGGAGGAGGAAAAAAGGAGAAGCAGCAAAAAATACGAATAAGAAAATATTGCAAAGAAAAATTATTACTGATAAAGGTAAACAATAAAATCACTGGATCAATCAACTATAAAGCTAATACAAAGTTTAAAAGGCAAAAGTAATTACAACAGTTAAATCAAGGGATACACACACACACACAAGAAGTAAAAAAAAATGATGTAAAAATAAATGTGGAGGTGGAGAGTAAAACTGGTTGTGATTTTAGAATGTGTTCAAATTTAAGCAACCACCAACCTAAGACAGACTGCTGTAAACATAGCTTGGGATATATGATGCACAAACCAAAAGCCTGCAAAAGATATACAAGAAATAAAGAGAAAGGAATCAAACACAACACTACAGAAAGTCAAACATACAAGAGAGTAAGAGAATAACAAAGGAACAGAGAAGAATTACAGAACCAATCAGAAAACAATAATAAAATGGAAATATCTATATGCCTTGCAATAATTACTTTAAGTATAAACAGATTAAATAATCCATCAAAAGACAATGGATAGTTTCCTCAAAAAATTAAATATGGAACTCCCATTTGACACAGTGGTTCCACTTCTAGGAATATATCCTAAGAAACCAAAGCCAATCAGAAAGAATGTATGCATCGCTATGTTCATAGCAGTGCAATTCATAATAGCTAAGATCTGGAAACAGCCCAAGTGCCTGTTTCATCAGTAGATGAGTGGATAAAAAAGAGTTGTGGTACATTTACACCATGGAATACTATGCAGCAGTAAAAACAGAAGGATATCTTATCCTTTGAGACAGCATGGAAGGATCTGGAGAGTATTATGCTAAGTGAAATAAGCCAATCAGAGAAAGACAAGTATCACACGATCTCACTCATATGTTGAATCTAATGAACAAAATAAACTGAAGAACAAAACAGATCCAGAGACAGAAACATGAGACAGACTGCCCAACCTCAGAGGGAAGAGATTAACCAAAGAACTTATATGCATATATGCATAACCCATGGACATTGACAATAGTGTGGTGAAGGCCTGGGGCAGGGGGCGGATTTTTTCTAGAAGGGGTCAATGGGGGGAAAATGGGGACATCTATGATACTTTCAACAATAAAGATCAATTTTAAAAAAGGCAATGGATAAAGAAGTTGTGGTACATACATAATGAAATATTACTCAGCCATAAAAATAATAAAATCTTAACATTTGCAACAACATGGATGGACCCACAGGGTATTATGCTAAGTGAAATAAGTCAGACAGAGAAACACAAATATAAATTTCACTTATATGTGGACTCTAAAGAACAAAATAAATGAACAAACAAAATAGAAAAAGACTCATAGATACAGAGAACAAACTGATGGTTGCCAGATGAGAGTGGAGCTGGGGGCTGGAGAAAAAGATGAAGTGATTAAGAAGTAGAAAATAGGTACAAAAGAGTCACAGGGACATAAGGTACAGCATAGGGAAATAGTCAATAATATTGTAATAACTATAAGGGTGCCAGGTGGGTGAAAAACTTATTGAAGGAATCACTTCGTAAATGATATAAATGTCTAATCACTATGTGGTACACCTGAAACTAATAAAATATTGAACGTCTCTAATTGAAAAATTTTAAAGTTAAGCCAAAAAAAAAAAATCTGTTCGAACCTGTGTAAGTTACTGACCCACATCAAGCACAGATGGAGCCTCTGCCAGATGTTCTCCATGTTTTTGGGCCTCAGAAAGGTCAGTATGCTCTCTTGAAGGGTTTAGCCCTGACTAGATATTCTGAACATACTAGTTTATAGATAGTAATCAGTAGGTTTTTACTGAATAAAGACACCTAAGGACCCAACATCTAAGATGCACAAAATTTTATCTGACTATACAAAGTTCTGATTTTCAACAATACTGCATGTATTAATTTGGGAAGCACAGTTTTCTAACTCTACAGGCATCTCGCCTAAATTTTAGATTTGAACTGCATGAATCTAGAATTGATCAGTGCCCCAGAAGAGAAGTAGCAAAGTTATGAAGAAGAAATGATGAATTTTAAGGATCTGCTCAAGCCGAATTTTCTTTCCATCCTTTCTTCCTCCTCAGCCCCTACCTACATCTCCTTCCTTCCCTTATGGTGCTGACCCCTAAGATGCAGGGTCCCCTCACCTATGGGAATGAATGAATTCTTCCTGTCTCACACCAGTTCTCACCTCCTCCATTTAGTTTTCCCAGCCACCCCACCTCTTCTCCCAATCAAAATTAATCTCCTCACCCTTTGGATTCTGGTATCTCTGAGCACTTTCATTTGCCAGGTACTTAATTTTTTTCTTTAATATGAAAATTTTCAAACATATATAAATGTGGAGGAGATATGATGAACCCTCATGCCCCCAACCATCATTCAGTTTCACTCAACATCATTAATCATCAGGAAATGCAAATCAAAATCACAATAAGATATCACCTCACACCTGTTAGGATGGCTATTATCAGAAAGACTAGAAGTAAGAAGTGTTGGTCAGGATGTGGAGAAACCTTGTGCACTATTGGTGGAAATGTAAATTGATGCAGCCATTATAGAAAACAGCATGGAAATTCCTCAAAAAATTAAAATTAGAACTACCATACAATCCATTTCTGGGTATTTATCTGAAGAAAACAAAAACACTAATTTGCAAAACTATATGCACCCCTATGTTCATTAAAGCTTTATTTACAATAGCCAAGATATGAAAACAACCTAAGTAGCCTGAATCAATTTAGTTAACAGTTGGCTTACTGTTTTGTTTTTACTAAATTATATAATTATTTAACTGAACTGAAACTTTTCATCGAAAGGGAGCTCAAGTTTCTCCCTGGATAAAATAAATATAATTCTATTGGACTTGAAATATGCCTTATTGGGCCCTGGCCAGTGTGGCTCGGCTGATTGGAGCATTGTCTCATACACCAAAAGGTAATGGGTTCAATTCCCGGTCAGGGCACATACCTGGGTTTCGTGTTTGGTCCCAGGTTGGGGCATGTATGAGAGGCAGCCAATCGATGTTTCTCTCTCACATTTATATTTTGTTCTCGTTCTCTCTCTCTCTTCCTTTCTCTCTAAAATTGATGAGCATGTCCATTGGTGAGGATTAAGAAAAAAAAAGAAATATGCCTTATTGGGTTAAAATTAACATTTAAAGAATTATTAAAGACATGACGCAAGATTTAAAAGTCAAAAGCAATACAAACAAGATAAGTTTCTTTAATAACTGAAAGACTGATTACTGTATTTGTTGCATAGTTTATAATTTTTAGAAGTTATTTATAGGTATGATAGTGGTGACCATGGTGGGAAAAGGTATTTATTGAGCAGACAAGATGGATAAACAATAGACCTGTGGCTAACAAGTAAGGCTCCTTTCCTGTTTATAGGAAAGAGCAAATGTAAACTGGTTCCCAGTCTCACGGCTACCCATTATGTAGATCACTAGGTCACTCATGCCACTCGGACAACCAATGCTTTCTTTCCACCAGAAAAGAAGGAATGTAGGAAGATTACAACCAAAACCAAAAGCAACCCTACTTATTTTCTTCCCATGATATATGGAGAAGGTGTTGTGAAGTCAGATTCCCAACCAGGGACCCCAAACTAAGTTCTTACTTAGAAATAATCAGCATAAAATTAGTTTTAAAAATCTCTTTGCACCCTAGCCAGTGTGGCTCAGTTGGTTCGAGTGTTGTCTTGTACACTGAAAGGTTGAAAGTTAGATTCCCCAATCAGGACACATACTTAGATTGCGGGTTCAATCCCCAGTTTCTCACATCAATGTTTCTTTTTCTCTCTTACCCCCTCCCCCCCTTTCTCTAAAAAAATAAACATCTCCTCGGGTGAGAATTAAAAATATATGTATCTTTGCCTTAATCTTAAACCATTCCTTATTTTATTCCAGTCCCCCCAAATGTGGCTCTAAAACTGTTTTATTAAATACTTATAAATTCCTCCAGATCCAGTGTGTAGAACAGCATGGTCATTCTTGGCACAGAAAAAGTGGTAATTCTTGGGACAGGATTTTTTATCACATCCCACGGTGGCTCCTTTTTCATCACAAAATGTGCATTTCTACAGAAGAATAGATATTACTGAGTAAGCACCTGTTTTCATAATTTTTCTTAAAATTTAAAATTAAACATGCTATTAAATATTATTTTTAAGTCAGTAACCCTAATGTCCTGAGGTACATTACTTACATTTGGCTGGTTAGCTAACTAGAACACTTGGCACAGACTATTTTGTAATGATCTGATTGACAGCAGAAAACCGCTCTGGCTGGTTTGGCTTAGTGGATAGAGCACTGGCCTGCTGACTGAAGGGTCCTGGGTTCGATTCCAGTCAAGGGCACATGCCTGGGTTGTGGGCTCGATCCCCAGTGGGGGGTGTGCAGGAGGCAGCTGATCAATGATCATCTCTTATCATGGATGTTTCTCTCTCTCTCTCTCCCTCTCTGAAATCAATAAAAAAAGCAGAAAACCTGTTTTGTTTCAAAAAACTAATCTCAAAAAGCAGGGTTGGAAAGTTGTCCAGCTCTAAGCACTGGGTCCTGTTACAGACACTGAGTCTGTGGCTGGAGCAGCTAGCTCCTGGTTGTGCCACTAAGAGCTGTGTGGTCTCCAGTCAGTCACTTCCTCTCTCTTAGACCCACATTTCTCCCTGTATATAACAAGGCCTGTTTTACAGATTGTGTGATAAGTAAAGGCCTCTAAGGAGGTGATATATAAGCTTAGATATGAATAATAAGAGCTCCTAGCATGCAAACAACAACACAACCAGGGGGAAGGACATTCTAAGCCAAAGGCCTTATGTTCTGGCAGCAAGAATGAGTTTCGACAATGGCAAGTTCATAAGGATGGGGCAGAGCTGCGAGGGGTGGGGGTGGGGGACGGGAGGGGGCGCTGGTGTAGTTGGAGCAGAGAGGAGGGCAAGGAAGAGTCTGGGATAAGACCCAAGGTGTAGTCAGGGCTGTGTCATGTAGGGCTTATAAGCCAGAGTAAAGAGTTGGGATTTTATCCTTATGCAACGGGAGCATAAACTGAGCAATATTTTTAAGACACTATGCTGGCTGCTGTGTGGAGAATGGGCTGGGGCAAGTATCGGTAGTGTTCAGCAACCATCCAAAAGAGGCAGACCAGTGACTTCACTACAGTGGGTCACTGACACAGAGAGAGAAGTGGAGGACACAGGTCTGTAGGATGGTACTGACGGGCTTGATGCTCGGTTGGGAGGTTGATGAGGAGATGATGGCTAAAGGACGTGCTGTTTATTGAGGTGAGGAGTGAACAGGTTTGGATGGAGAGAGAGAGAGAGAGAGAGAGAGAGAGAGAGAGAGAGTGTGTGTGTGTGTGTGTGTGTGTGTGTGTGTGTGTGTGTAGCAGGTGTGGTGAACGTCTGGCCCCAGGGCCGTATAAGGCCCGTGAAATCATTTGGTCTGGCCCTGCCAAGACATTAGGGATGAGTTAATTAAATGTTTGACCAAATATAGCAGGTTAATTTTTAAGTTGATAGCTTTGTATAGTCCACAAATGATGTTATAAATATCCAAATGGCCCTTGGCAGAAAAAAGGTTCCCCACCCTGGTGTAGAGGATGGATTTTTGGCCAGTTTAACATGAGATGCTGTTAGATATCCATGTAGATATGCCAGGCTGGTTGTTAGAGATACAGAGTCACTGGCATAAGTATGGTAAAGCCATGAGAACTGCATGATGTCATGTAGGCAGGCTGTTCCCACATGATGGAGGAAGGAGCCCAGGGTAGAGCACTGGGCACCCCGAACTTTAAGGGTTGAGCAGAGGAGGAAAACAGCTCAAGGCGCCCGGGAGCAGCAGCCAGCTTACAGGTAAGAGCTATACTAGCAGAGTGTATCCAGGAGGTCAAAGAATAAAGTGCTTCAAGATGCAGGGCACAGACAACTGCGTGATGAATACTGCTGAAAGGTCAACTAAGGACAGAGAAGGAACACTGCCACTGACAAGTGTCTTGTGTAAAAGGGAGGGTTGTTTTTTAAGATGACGTGATCAGTTGCTCATGTTCACGTGCTGAGGGGAATAACGTAATAGAAAGGGGATACTGATGTAAAGAGGGTAGAGGTAAATGCAAGGGTCTAGTCCTTAAGAAGGGAAGGGGACTGGCTCCAAAGTCCAAGAGCTTTCACAGGAGGGAGGTCCAGGTGGGACAGAGGTGGGTGGGTAGTGGTTTGGATACTAGGAGTTCCATCCAATGGTTGCCATTTTCTCAGTAAAAGTCAGGCAAAGAAATGTACAGCACCAAGGATTAACCCTAATGTACACTATGCACTTTGGGTGTTTATAATCTGTCAATGTAGGTTCATTACTTTGTAAGAAATGTACTTTCTGGGGAGGGGATGTTGATGGTGGGGAGAGGCTGTGCATGTGTGGATGGCGGGGGTTATATAAGAAATCTCTGTGCCTTCCCCTCAAATTTTCTGTGACCCTAGAATTGCTCTAAAAAATAAAGTCTATTTAAAAAGTCATTAACTTGGGGATAGGAAGATGAGGTGGGGAGAGGTTTTAAAGAGAGATGAGGGGATATGAAACAGTAACTGTGGTGGGTGGAGAATCCCTTTGAGGTCTGTGACTATGACTCTAATATCAGTCAACACATTTGTGGGGTTATTGCCTGTTGTTCCCAACTGCTCAAGTGTGGGTGCTACTCAGCATATGCAGACAACAGACAGACGCAATTTCCCCAGGGTTGGGGCTTTGCTAGGAGAGTAAGGATGTGGGCGGTGGGGAGAGGGAGGCCAGGGGTGTTTGGAAGAGATTGACTGCAATGACGGACCATGGCTATGAGGTGGGGCCACTAATTGTGAAGGGGTCATTGAAAAACTGCTGGAGCTGGGTGAGCTGAGCAGATAGGACATGTCTAAAGAAAAATAATCTTCATTGTCTCCAGTGATCAGAGAAATGCAAGATAAAACTTTCTTTCAGACTGGCAATAATTAACAAAGTTGGATATTCATTTTTGTCAAGGGCTGGGAGCAGTGCTCTTTCATCCCCTATGTACAGATATATAAAGTGATACAACCCTTTTGGGGGACAGTGTGTCAGCATGTTTCAAAAATTTTAAAGAGAATTCTCTTTGACACTCAGCCACTCCACTTCTGGGAATATTCTCTACAGCAACACTCAAACAAATACACAAGGATATATGTACAAAGATTTGCTGCAGCTTTAGTTGTTATAGTGAGAAACCTGAATCAACTTATTACCTAACAACAACAGAATGGTTGTGTGCATTCTGGGACATCCTAAGGAATTCTATGAAGTCAATGCAGAGAATGGAGAGTCATATGCTCACAATTTTATAAACAAGCCATGTCATTCTTGCCTTCCACATTTTGCACATCCTGTTCCCTCTCTCTGAATTCTTCCTTCCTCATCTTCATTTTCACCTACAAGGATTCCTGAGGCCCAAATGTGGTGAAGTACCTGCTTGCTGAGTGCCTTGTGCTGACCCTCAAAGCATGTCAGGCTGTGTGGAAACTGTCCATGTATGTGCTGACACCTTGCAAGGGCTAAATCAATGTTTCTCAGATTCATTAACCCTATCATGGTGGTGGCAAGGGCTTTAGGTACTTATACTTGCTGTACTGCTTGCTTGTTAAGCTGTGCAAGGCCTTTCATAAGGAAGTCTAAAGTAATGGACCCAGTGGGAACTGACCACAGCTTCAGGGGTAAACCCTGACTAGTTAGTCACCTCTAGCAATGGGTGCAGGAAAGGGGGGGGGGGCAATTAAACACTCTGAGGGCTCTTATTCCATGCTTACGGATGAACTTCCTCTTTCCCTAGATAGAAACGAGAAAGCCTGATGCTTCAGATGGTGCCTGCAGCCACCCTATGACCACAAGGGAACCAGCTGATTTTGTGGATAGGAGGGCAGAGAGGATGATGGGCCCTTGATGACATTCATTAAGCCATTGAAACAACCAACCTTGAAGCCAGTTTCTCCTCTGGCTAAGTGAGAAAATAAGCATCCTTTTTGTTAAAGCCATTTTGGGTCGGCATTCCTCCTATTTACAGCCAAAAGAATTCTAAGGCATATATACTTTGCTGATGAAGCATTTAATAGTTTATTTCAAATTATTAAATGTTCAACCTGAGTTTCAAATACAGGTCCCACTTCCTTCAGCTCTCCAAGATGCATCTCTATCCTTGGTGTATTAATCAAATAGACTTTCTTTTGAAGGCATCCCCCAAGGGTCTGTTCATCTTGTAAGTAATAACATAATTTATACTTACCAATCTCCTTCCTCTGAAGATTTCTTTCTTTACTGCTTCCACATTAAAACTTCTATAACCACGTTTTGGATCACTATCCTCACATTCCACAAGTGCTGAAGAATACAGCTGCAGATTGGGAAAAGAAGAGTATGCACAAAGGAATGGTGAGAGCTACAAGTCAGAAAATGGCACCAAAAAGTAATCACCAGGAGTGGAAGAACAGTGACAACATTTTGGGGGTGTGAGCAGATCACAAGCCACCCTGCTTTTCTTGGAAGTGGTCCCAATCCCCAGGCATGTTTTCTATTCCATAACCCTTACCCCCAATGGCTAACTGAACCTGGTTGAGGCTCTAGTCTAACCCCACGCTGGACCAATCAGATTTTCTATCCTAGGAAAGTAGAATAGGCTCTGAGCCACATGCTCAGAGCAAGCCAGCCTGTAAAAAGAAAAATAAAACAAAAATGAGGCTAGAGAGGTTCCTGATGGCTTTCCAATGCCTGTTTCTTACACCGGCCTGCATGTCTGCCTTTAGGAGCCATGAAATGCCCCAGCAACCTTATCACAAAGCCCCTTTTCTTTGTGTTACTTGAAACCAAAAGAATAACACTACCTCGGAATCAACATAACACATATGCTCAAATAACAAAGGGTATGAAAAACAAAAATTTGTGATACTGGAATATAAGCAAAGATTTCTTAGAAAAAGCAGAAACTATTTAGAAACTATATAGAAAAAGTTAGTAAGTTGGACTTTCTCAAAACTAAAACATTTTGCTCATTGAAAGAATTGATAAAAAAAAAAAAAGGCAAATCAGAGACTGGGAGAAAATATTCATAATATGGCCCTGGCAGTTGTGGCTCAGTTGGTTGGTTATCATACTGGGTACCAAAAGATTGCCAGTTTGATTCCAGGTCAGGGCACATGCCTGGGTTGCAGCTCGATCCTCAGCAGGGGGCATATAGGAGGCAGTCGACTGATGTTCCGCTCTCACACAGATGTTTCTCTCTTTCTCTCCCTCTCCCTTCCTCTCTCTCTAAAAAAAATAAATAAATAATATTTTTAAAAATTTTCATATGTATATCTGAAAAGTATATCAGGAATATAGGAAAAACTCTTATAACTCATCCTATATAATAAAAGCCTAATATGCTAAGTGTCCGACCATTCGTTCGACTGTTTGACTAGTCACTATGATGCACACTGACCACTAGGGGGCAGACGCTCTGAACGGTAGGTTAGCTTGCTGCTGGGGTCCTGCCAATTGGGACTGGGTGAGATGGGCCAGACACGCCCTGGAGCCCTCCAGCAGTCCCTCCCTGGCCCCGATTGTGCATCAGTGGGGTCCCTTGGCCTGGCCTGCACCCTCTCGCAGTCTGGGACCCCTCAGGGGATGTCAGAGAGCCAGTTTAGGCCCGATCCCCCCAGGCCAGGCCGAGGGATCCCACCCCCACTGGTGCACAAATCTGTGCACCGGGCCTCTAGTAATAAGATAAAAAATTCAATTAAAAATGGGCAAAACATTTGAACAGACATTTCATAGAAAAAGTTACTAATGTTGAAGAAGCACATGAAAAGAATCTCAATATCTTTAAACTTCAGGCAAATTAAAACCATACTAAGATACCAATATACACTCACTAGATTAGCAAAAATGAAGAACATATCTCAGCTTCGTCATTTACCAAGTGTTGAGGGTGTGGATCAAATACAATTCTTACACATTGTTAGTAGTGTAAAATAATGCAATTACTTTTAAAGTTAAACATACACTTAATTTATGACCCAGCATTCCTCTTTTAGGTATTCACCCAAGAGAAATAAAAGCTTATGCTCACACATAAAGACTCATATTCATAGCAGATTTATCCTAATATCCCCAAACTGGAAATGACACATATTTTTATCAATAGGCAAATGGATAAAGAAATTATTGTATATCCATACAATAGAATACTATGCAGAAGTTGAAAGGAAAAAAAAGAGATACATTTAATAACATAGAAGAATGTGTACTGAGCAAAAATAAATAAAAAAATAAAATAAAAGCCAGATATAAAAGAATACATGCTATAGGATTCCTTTCACAGGAGATTCAAGAAAAGACAAGGGATTGGGCAGGGGCGGGGATGGGGGGGTTATTGCAAGGAGGTACAAGTGAACTTTTTTGGGTAATGGAAATGTTCTATATCTTGATGGTTGGTGGTGGTTACATTGGTAAAGAGATGTCTTAAAACTTCAAACTGTATACTTAAAATAGGAGCATTTTGTTTTATATATTAAAATTAACTAAAAATTAACAAATTAACATTAACAGTATATTAGAATAAAATCTCATGATCAAATAGTGTTAATCTCAGAATGGTTTAACAACAGAAAATAAGTACGTAACATATTACTAACAAATTAAAAAGAGAAAATTGGAGACATGAAAACAATTTGGAACCCATGAATTAGAATCCTTTGTTATAAAGAAAGTTATTAGGACAACAGATAAAACCTTGAGTGATTTGAGTAATACATTAATAGTAATTTCATGATTTAAAAAATATATTTTTATTGATTTTAGAGAGAGGAAGGAAGAGGGAGAGAGAGAAACATCAATGATGAGAGAGAATAATTTATTGGCTGCCTCCTGCACGCGCCCCCCTTCCCCCCACCATTGGGGATTGAGCCCACAACCTGGGCATGTGCTGGTCCATGGGTCAATGCTCAACCACTGAGCCACACTGGCCGGGATAATTTCCTGATTTTGATGGTCATATTGTGATCATGTCAAAGAATGTCCTTGTTTGTAGAAAATACAAACTAAAGTAAGAGTGTCCCAATTTAATTTCAAATGGTTACAACAAAAATATTTTTTGTACTGTATGTGCAACTTTTCTTAATATTCAATATTCTTTTAGCAAACTAGAAATAAAAGGAAACATCCTTATTTCAATAAAGTGAAATATTAAAAACTTAAAGTATACACAAAATTAAAATCTTAGAAACATCCCATTAATATAAGAAATAAGACAAAGCTCCCTACTTTAAAAGTTTCTATAAATAAATAAAATCTTCTAATCACTATTATAACAGAATGATCTAGAAAAATGCAGTAAAACAAGAAAAAGAAATTAAGAAGCCCAAAAATTAAAAGAAAAAAAAGTATCTTTATTTACAGGTGAGGCTTGTCCAAATAAAATATCCAGGTGAATCTAGAGACTACTAGAATTAATATGAATTTGCAAAAATTATTGGACAAGATCAATTTTAAAAAATCAATAGTGTTTGAAAAAAAAAATCAACAGTACTTGTGTGTACCAACAATAGCTTATTTTGAGCAGGTATTAAGAAAAAGTAACAAAACAAACGCAGGAATAAGCCTAACCCAAAGTTCTAGAACTACATAGAAAAAAATTATTAAACATTTCTAAAATTCATACAAGATCTGAATGACTGGGGAGACAGACCCTGTTAATGGATAGAAAAACTCATATATCATGAGGGTGTCTATTTTTCTCCCAAATTAAAATGTCTTTTAAAAAGCTTCTATAAAATATTTTTAAAAATATATTTTTATTAATTTCAGAGAGGAAGAAAGCGACAGAAACATCAATGATGAGAATTATTGATCGGCTGCCTCCTGCACCATCACCCCTACTGGGGATTGAGCCCGAAACCTGGGCATGTGCTCTGACCAGCAATCGAACCAGGGACCTCCTGGTTCATGAGTTGACACTCAACCACTGAGCCAAACCAACTGGGCTAAAAAGCTTCTTCATAATTCTTGTTATAAATAAGATTTAAAGTAATCATAAGGTAATAAGATCCAAAAAATTAAAAAGTTAGAAAAACATCCTCCCAAAATCCCCACTTAAAAGCCCAAACCATGGCCAACTCATCATTCTTTGTACTCAAAGTACCATTTTTCTATTTTGGTATATCCTTCCCTAAAAGAACTCATGTATTTATTTATTTTATTTTTGTTAATCCTCACAAAAGATATTTTTCCATTGGTTTTTAGAAAGTGATAGGGAAGGGAAAGACATAGAGAAAAACATCGATGTGAGAGAGACACATCGATTGGTTGCCTCCTGCATGGGCCCACTTGACTGGAATCAAATCCAGGACCCTTCAATCCAAGGGCTGATGCTCTATGTACTGAGGCAAACAGGCTAATGAAAGAACTCCTGTATTTTCAAGTGACTTACCAAACAATTTTCATGAGCAGCTATGTCCTCTGATTGTGCACAGTACAGGACACCACACTCGAGGTCTTTGGGACAAAGTGCACATATCCTTCTTTGCATCTTTTTTGCAACCTGGAAGACACCTATAAGTAATATCCCTCATGAGAAATGGAAAAGTAAAATTTCTTGGTCTCAATAACACCTGCATTAGTTTTAAAGAAGAAGAAAGGCACTTGTTAGACCACCAACTTACACCATACATAAAAATAAACTCAAAATGGAAAGAGGACTTAAATGTAAGATGGGAAACCATAAAAATCTTAGAAGAACCCAAAGGCAGCAAAATATCAGATATATGTTGTAGCAATATCTTTATTGATATGGCTCCTAAGACAATGGAAAATAAGAAGAAAATAAACAAATGAGACTACATCAAATTAAAAAGCTTCTGCAGAGCAAAAGAAATTAGAAAGCCCACTGCATGGGAGAACATATTTGCCAATGTTATCTCCAATAAGGGTTTAATCTCCAAAATTTATAGGGAACTCATACAACTTAACAAAAGGAAGATAAACAACTCAATCAAAAAGTGGGCAAAGGACCTAAATAGATACTTTTCAAAGGTGGACATACAGAAGGCCAAGAGACGTATGAAAACATGCTCAAAATCACTAATCATCCCAGAGATGCAAATCAAAATGACAATGAGGTACCATCTCACACCTGTCAGAATGGCTATCATCAACAATTCAACAAATGACAAGTGCTGGCGAGGATGTGGAGAATAAGGAACCCTCGTGCAATTTTGGTGGGAATGCAGACTGGTGCAGCCATTGTGGAGAACAGTA